CTAAACGATCACAACTTATTTTCAAAGAAAATGAATATATACTGACCAGCAATAAAAACGCAACTCAGAATTCATGAAAATTATATTTTTTCAGCATGAGTTTGGATTTGATACTTTAACACAATTGTTTTGATCTCTTGAATTGCATTTCTTTTGCTGGTCAGTATATTAAATAAACATTCAAAATGGGATGTGTTAAGAATCAGAAAGATTTCTTGAGAAATACCTCCCCCGCGTGTTGCCGGGGTGTAAGAAATGGGATACCGTTAAGTTTGCATATAAAAATGAAATACTCATGGTTTATACAGAGCTAGCTGTTTTCATACTGATATTTAGAAAAGCACATCATTCTTTCTTAATAGCGTGTCATGGTCTTTCCAAAATAGTTTTCAAGTATAAATTGTGTTTAAACATAACTGCACATTCACATTCCAACCAGGACATTTAATTCATTTACGCGAGTTGCATTAACTGTCCAGTAAATTTCGTTCCTCATTCAAGATGAACAGAAAATGGAAAGACAAAATAAATGTCAAAATTAAGTGCCATTCTAATTTTCACCCAAATCAGCATCAGTTTAGCTTGGTCTGTTTTGACAAGTGTTTCTTGACGCACACAAAATATTAATCAATGTAAAAAACAGTTTACAGTTATCTACTTTCTCCTGGACATAAATAGACTGGCAAGTGATATAGCCATCCGCGTTTGTTGGTTAACGCCTAAATAGTTGCACATGCAATACAGGCTCTGGGTTAACACTTACTATCATTGCGTCCATTGTTAAGAGGTGCAACAAAGTTCTTGGCTTTAAATGTCGCCCACTGAGATGATCAGATAAAGACATTGACCTACACTCTTCGTATAGTGTCTACAGATTGAATTGTTTATTTGTTTGTAGTTTAACGCCGCATTCAGCAATATTCGAGCTATATGGCGGCAGTCTACGAATAATCGATTCATGAGTCCACTGTTGTCCAGTTTCCTGTGTCATCCCACATTGTTTGGACCTGCAGTGAACACGTGTTTACCAGTATCTTAGCCCTTATTCTCGAAACGTTCGTAGCCCTAAGAATTCTTAATTTTGATCGTAGCCAATGCATTAAGAATGGGCTTAAGAAGTTCGTAGGGCTACGAACGTTTCGAGAATAGCTAGTGGTTCTTTGTTCCTTCTTCTCTTTTTCATCAGAGTGTATTTAGAAAACAAATAAACACACGGACTATTCAACTGAACATGTTGTATTGGGAAATATATCCTGATTTCCATAAAGCATTTCTACAAACACTAAAGTGAAATACCGAGGAATACAATATACTAAAATGCAGGCATCCTTTTTAATTTTCGCTCTGAGCTAGAACACAAAGTCATTTTCAATCATCACACTTGATCGAATGGACTCGATGTCTATGCTCTGTGTCAGTTTGGTTTGTTGATAACTTGATATATACTAGACAAAAATAGTTAGGGATATATGTAAATTTTGAAATACTGAATAATGATGTATTTATTCATTGACACACTGATAAAATATCAATCATAAAAATACCAATATCCCTTACTTATACTGTCCAGTATATGTTACACTAGAATCTTCTTCCGCAATATACTGGACAAAAATAGTTAGGGATATATGTAAATTTTGAAATTATGAATAATGATGTACTTATACATTGACACATTAATAAAATATCAATCATAAAAATACCAATATCCCTAACTTATTTTGTCCAGTATATTAAATTTCATTTAAACTCGTTTCTTTTCTTAACCATAGTCAAGATTTCTTTGGGGCAGTAAAATTATGCTCATCACTCTAGATTTCTTTCCATCACACGTGCTTAATCCCTGGATCATGCGCCCCCAGGACCCACAGTAATGTGGTCTAGTGTGAGTGAGTGAGTTGTGTTTTATGCCGCTTTTAGCATTATTCCAGCAATATCACAACTGGGGACACCAGAAATGGGCTTCACACATTGTAATTATGTGGGGAATCGAAACCGGACCATCGGCGTGACGAGCGAACGCTTTAACCACTTGGCTGCCCCACCACCCCTGGTCAAGCTTTTGTGACATCTGGTCTACAGCTCGTGTTTTAATGGCATTATATGTGTAACGGGAACGGCCTAAACGACATATATGACCATGATGCTTTGCGTTGTGTTTTGTGTGTTCTAAATCAAAGCCGTCCCGTTCCCAGTTCGTGGATGCAGAGGAGCAATTAAAAACCATCAAATTTCTTAAATAAAGACATAATTTATTCATAAATTATAACTCAACAAACAATATAAACAATAAGTCAAATCTAACAAATTCCTGAGAACAAAAGATATACAAACACAATTACTTAAAATATTTTATTAATAACCTAACCTACTTTCTCCCAACCCTCTCAACTACGCATAAACCACCCTCTTAAAATAGCACTAAATCCTACCTACAATCTACTGCACCTACACTAATATACGAAATTCCTACTGATTGGCATGTTCCATTATGCTGAAATCCACCCGGCCGTCCCCACCAACAAATTTACCCCAAAATATACAACCTTTCTATTCAATTTCTCTTTATTGGCCGAAAAATAAATTGAAACCTAACAGGAAGTGTAGTCGGGACTCCTTGTTCCGTCACGGAACATCTTGTTGTTCCATCACGGGACATATTGCGGTGGATAACGTCACCTGTGACCGGTCGCCGATCATTCGTGTTACGCGCTTAAATACCCTGCAGCTGCCCTACGTCTTACATAACAACCTCGCCACGATTGGCCAGCCAATCTGCCAACCACCAATCAGAATTGCTCATACCAAACAACCTGACTGCAACAGAAAATGGCGGCGAAAACAATTCAACCACCGACGGAACAGAATCAAAGTATGATACCCAAAATGTCTGCACGAAACGAAACACGTGCTCCCGGTTACATTTGGTGCCGTGACCAGGATGTAGATGTGCTGCAATTAAAACTATTTTTGTGGTTAAGTTAACATGAAATAAGACTGAAGTTTGTTTTGGCTTTTTTAGGATTAGGAATAGGATTAGTTTAAAAATGGATTTTGAATATGAACTGTTTGGTGTTTCTGGTTTGCCATCCCCTTCAGTTCGTGATGATGCATTTCGCGAATTACCTTCTCGTAGAGCCTCGACTCCACAACATAATCTGGGAGGCCAAACATTTTTGCCAGATTTTGGGAAACGAGGTTATGAGTGTGGGGATACCATCGGGTCAGGATCCGTGACAGCTTCCGCCTCGGAGATAGGTTATCCGTATGTTGTCGGCTCTCGATCAGGTCAGTTTGGTGGTAGGTCTGTTAGGTTCGAACCATCGTCAGATCAAGATAGGTTTGGTGGTGGACAGAGTTTGGGATCGAGTGCACCATGTCCGTCGTCTTGGTCTTCGCATTTAGGTAGCTCTTCAGGTAGCAATGTACGTTCAAATGTACCAGGAGTAGTGACTACCCCACGTTCCTCCATTCTGAGAGATACTAACCAAGGGCAGGCTCGTTCAGACAAGGTTACTCGCAGGGAAAAACAACCCGACACATTCAATGGCAAAACTAGTGAGTGGCAGAATTATATCATAATCATTTCGAGCAGGTTGCCGCATGGAATGGTTGGAATGATTATGAAAAAGCACAGCAACTGAGCATGAGTTTGCGTGGTACAGCACAAACTTTGCTTAGCAATCTGACGTATGGACAGCTTAGTGATTACTATGCCATAAAAAATGTGTTGACCCAGAAGTTTAACCCCAAGGAAAGGAGTTTAGCTTATCGGTGTGAATTCCGACTTAGGCGACAAGGCAAAGATGAGTCTGCCGCTGATTACGGGTATCAACTTAGATGGCTGGCATTGCTTGCCTACCCTGAGGTTCCCTACACTTCACTTGAACTCCAGATTATTGACCAGTATGTGACTGGGTTGAATAATTTTGATATGAGGAAAAGGGTTACCTTTAGTCATCCCCAAACTCTGGAGCAGGCTATTTCCTATGCAATAGAGTATGAAGCTGTGGAGGGAAGTCGGAATAGAAAACCTGTAGCAACTAGTGGAAAAATCTGTTTAGTTAAGTCAGAATCAAATGTTCAGGTTACCAGGGAAACTGAAAGTCCAGTAACTTTAGACATGTTAGCCAAGCTCATTGATGAGAAATTGGCTAGGTTCAAGCAGTCATTTAGCAGGCAAAAATATAGTGATGAAATGAGAACAGGTGCTTGCTTTTATTGTGAGGAGAAAGGACATATGATCAGTCACTGTCCGCAGCTAGAAAAGACACGGGGATCCACTGTTTCTGATAGGGCAACAACTAACAGTTCGGAAAACTAGTTCGGACTGAGGGAGGGGCCGAAACTTCAGTCCTTAGTTGTCAGGTTCAACAACTGACAGGGCCACAATTTGTTAGTTCTAAAGATCAGGAGGAATCTGGTACTACAAGGAAGGGAGCACCCTCCAGTAGTGCTAAGATTACATATCAGGTGCGCAATGTACAGGGTGATCAGAATTGTCTCTACACAAGTATTCAGTTGAATCATGGTCATGTGTCGTAAAGGCCGTTCCCGTTACATATGTAATGTTGATTTTTGTGTTGAATGAAATATTTTATTATTTGAAATTAATATTTTTTCTTAAACATTTCTTATAGGTAACGTTACTCTTCTCGTCAGTACATGGCTGAAATATTGCCAATGTGACGTTAATTTTAACTCTCTCACCCAAGATCATGCAAGGCACATATCATGATTGATCGTCATTAGATACTGCCATAGCAACCAATTCAGGAACACCTTTGTCAACATATATTGTCAGCTGATACTAATTACCCCGTAGCTATGTCAAGCAACTGTCACTAAATGTATTACTTATAGGATGTCAATGCCCTTAAAGCGTTTGGTCACGACACCGAAGCCCATATATGGTGTCCATAGTCGTGATATTTCTGGAATATTGCACACTCACTATTACATTTATCTTCTCCTAACCACAAAATAATTTCAACACATACTGGAAAGAACAAACTTTATTGAAACGTATCCTCCAGTAGACATAACTCTGATCAATGTGTGTTAAAACAGGCAAGTAAATATATACAAAAGGTAAAAATATACAGAGTATTGTTAGAATGAAACGTAGTGCTTGTTCTGTAGAAAGGTAAATATCATGTAAACATGATCTCGTCCACGAATTCTCATTAAATACCCTCCCTGACCTGCGTTATTGCTCCATGAGCACAAAAGCGCCGAGAGAAAGAATTAGTCTAGTCGCCGAACTATTTCGAAGGGCATGTAACTCTAGTTTACTTAGAAAACAAACATGGCATCCACACCAAGGATTTTTTTCCGAGTAAACGGTGAATCTTTCCTACGCCATAATGTCAATATATCCTGGTTATACAAATTCAAGAAACCCAGGAGGACTATGCAATAACTAAAATATACTTGAAGTGTCTGGGGAAAAATTATGCAAGCCGAAATGAAAATTATTTCAACTAACTATTTTGACCCAATTTCTTCTTTACATACGCGCATTCTGATTGGCTGGGGGAATATTTCTCGCGGACATGGCTACGAAAGGGGTACGAGTCTTCTTTCTGGTTACGGAAAGGGACGAGTAGTTACGAATGTTATTGCCGCTGTAATACGGCCTTTGACGTTTAAGCCGCCATGTAAGGCATAATAGCCACTTCATTCGTCACCACTTGGCCCTTTCCGTAACCCGGAAGCAGACACGTCACCCTATCGATTAAAGTAATGTGTGGAAATAAAAACCAATATGAATGCGTGTATGACTTCAAGAACGTTGGTCAAATAATCTTTCAGGAATAAGTTTCTGTTTTACATACGTCTTGAATATAAAAATATTCCAAAATACTGTTAACTGTGCAACCAGTTAATTCCGACGTGTTTAAATATCTTCTGCAATATATATAATTTATCGGAGACTTATACGTTAGCTTGGACGCAAAAGGTCGTCCCATGACATGGCAAATGTTTTAGATCCGCCTGTTTGCGCTTAGACGGTACCCAGTCTGAAAATGGCCAGGAGAAAGAACCGAGTTCCTGTTCGGTTTGCCCTGGAATAAAACGAGTAGGTCACGAATGTCGCCTGCGTGCATTAATGTACAAATACAAGGGATCATGGATTGGCATGTGATTATAGGACAAAGTTAAACATTAGCGTTACACTTAACAGCTACAAACAACTCAGATTGTTTTCATACGGCACACAATTACAGTTTGTGACATACGGAACCACTCGTGTTATTCCGGAAGCGATGGAAGGACTTGCGGAAATGAACGACCGGTGACGAATGGCTAGCGTTTGCGATAATGGCACTCGAGGTCATTTAACATGATCACAAGAGTAGATTCAACAAACGTAAATTTGCGCAGATCTTGTGTGTATTATGTTTGAGCAAAGTCCGGTGTTTTGCCCAAAATGGGTCAGTGGATTTAATAATTCAGTGACCTTGTGATGACTTCTATTAGGTCAGGGTCACCCGTCCTTGAAAATTTCCAATTTTATTTCAAGCAGCAATGGAGCAGTGTGATATGATGGTATGCAACACTATACAAACTAGTATAATAGCACGGTTTACATATCATGGTGGAAGTACAAGAAAGGTATGCTACTGTATGGATGACCGCTTCGTTACTACACGACCCATGAAGATCCGGGTTAGAATTGATCTTCAATAACCCATGCTTGTCGTAAGAAGCGACTAACGGGATCGGGTTGTCAGGCTGGCCGACTTGGTTGATACATGTCATCGTATCCGAGTTGCGTAGATCTATTTTCATGCTGTTGATCACTGGATTGTCTGGTACAGAGTCGACTGTTTACAGACAGCCGCCATATAACTGGAATATTGCTGAGTGCGGCGTAAAACTAAACGCATTCATTTTATTTCCCACTACACTGTGACGTGACGGTACAGATTCTTATAACGATAAGTCCTGAGTACCATAGTGTGGTTGTCATCCATAAAGTATCTCACTTTTCTTATTACTCCCCAACTTCTGAAATGGTAATCGAACAGATCACGATGGACATAGTCAATGTATGCATAGATCTCGGTGCTCAGTACATTCAAATAAAAATAAGGTAATGCACGAAGTTGGAAAACATAGCACTGGTTTAAAGGGGCACTCGCCTTTGCCTTCTTGGCTGGGTTTGCTTAATATCATTTGTTTATGGAATCTCTTTCATAATCTCTTCACAAGGTAACAGTGCATTATATAGAAATAGGGAAGCAATGGAAGAGCCGATTTAGTTTTGTACCAAACTAAATATTTACATTGTAATATAAAAATTGAAAAGGCTTCATATGATTAAAAATGTGATTATGCTTATGTAAAATATGATCATGAATTGAGATTTGCGTGTATCTGAAAATATATTTGCAATTTTTTAAAGACCATATTTTACATTTTGGTGGAATGTATGTAATGAGTTTATATATTATTCAAGTATATATCACAATCATATAAACATCACAGGTTCTAAAATGAAACACCGTTATACATTACTAAATTGGTACGTTGTGTCACGTGGTATCAAAACTAAATTTCAACGACACCCAGTTAATCCGAACGGCATAACAAATAGAATAGGTTACAACGTTAAGTATCAAGCTTTATAGTATTCAAAGTGGTTCGGACTAAAGAGTGTTCATTGTATAAGTATTTATGTACATCTGTGAAAAACATCAATACAACATAATGTCTACATATATGATAATAATAATAATGATCAGTTGGCAAGAAATACTTCAGAGGTCATGGTCCGCATGCCCAAAGCGTCCTTAACACACAAGGAGCTCGTGATCCTTAAAAGTCCAGGGCCCCCGTTCCTCAAAGGGATCGTAGCGCTAAGGTGATCGTAACTCCAATACTTTAACATAGACTTGCGACTGTCGTAGCGCTACGATCGCTTTGAGGAACGGGGCCCAGGAACAAAGGTTGCTTCGCGGAGCAGCACACGAGGCGCCGTTCGGCAAATCGATCTCAGTGCTAAGACTGTCATAAATCTATGGCTAAGTACAGCAGACACGATCGTCTTGGTGCCAAGATCCGCTTTGTCGATTGGCACCAGGGCTTCGCTCCACAAAGAGATCTTACTGCTACAATTATCGAAATTCCCATACTTTCACGACGTCTTATGACAGACACAGAGCTAGGACCGCTTTGAATGAGACACTTGTCCCTCTCTAATGAGGGAATGGATAATTACAGTAAACGTTACAGTAAGTGACAGGTATAAAAACTGTTTCAGGTCCAGCCTTTCTCGTGTATATATTAATCAAAATGCCTTTATAGATCTCGGGTAATAACGAACTAAATTATTGGTCCCTTGAGTTCGTTATAACCGAAGTATTCATAACACTATACACACTGGTATAACACACTCTGGTAAGACTGTTAATAGAATGAATACAGTTTTGCTGTAACGCCAGGATGAATACTTTCTTCACGTCCATTTTAACGAGATATTACGGTAAACTAACAACGACGGGAAAATGGACAAACCACTGAGTGAGTGTTGTTCTTCGCTGCCTGCAGCAATATCATGGCGGGGAACAAGAGGAACTGGCTTCACAAATTGTATCCATGAGTAGAATGGAACCCGGTCTCCAGCGTAACGAGTGAAAGCTCTGTATATAGACTTCCCCGCCGCCCCTCAAACGCCTTAACCAAGTTAAGTACAATCTCCCACCCTAATCCCCGACCCCACCCCCACCCCCACCCCCACATACAATTTGCCTTAGTCATTATCGCTCCGTATCATACAATCCCGGATACATCGAAATTGAGATATTAAAATATGTACATGGTCATTTTATTTAATGATATATATAGAAAACACTATTTACAATAATTATATACTGACGAGAAAAAGAAAGTATACACCTCTGACGGTGGCTGGACGTTAAGCAAAACAAAAATGGTTACACGATGGCAATGTATGCTCTACGGGTATCCTATTGTGGCTTCGGAAGTTGTTATGTTCTGGCCACTGTTTCTGGCCTATTAAAGTTATTATTTTGGGGTTTGTTTGTTTTTCAAATCTAATTTTCAAGTGTACACCTTTCCCTGGCAATTTGTATTATTCAGTAATTGGGCAAAATGTGTAACAGATGTACAATTCAACCGTCCCTACAAGACTTTATATACAGTGAGTTAAAGTGTAATGTTGCATCGAGAATATTTCGACCACATGACAGCAGATATTATGTTAAGACTCTGCAAAGCTTTTTCAAAACGTGAAATGTTAAGCAACGTACAAAAATATGTAATTTCAATACAATTTCAAAATTCCAATTCATGCGAAACGTTTTTAAAGATTTTTTTTCTGTAGGTATACATTAAAAATAAACGCAATTAACGCCTCCACAATATCTGTCTTTCTGTATGGAACACATTTTAAACCATACAGATACTTTTGGGGAATAACGTAGAACCTGCAACTGTTTAGCTGAGACATTCTCTTGTTATATGGACCCAACAATACTATTTTCTTCAGGCTTCACTATAGGTTTTCCTGATTTCTTCTTTGATTTTGTCAATGTCGTCCTCGATGTCACTGTTGCCAGCAGAGACGTCGCTGATATCGCCAACGTCACCGTTACCAGCTGCAATGGCCGCCTTTTGTTGGAGGACCTCGTCCAGCTCCTGATAGTGATTCTCCGCTGCAGCCTTTTCTCCGTCAAGGTCATCAAAGTCCGTGTAATCATTGACTCCTGCTTCACAGCGGGTGTCCAGAGTGGCCAGATTGCTGTTCTCGTACTGACCAGCGCTGTTGCAAAGAGTGTTGGGTTGTTTCGGAAGCGTGTCATATTGCACTGGTTGGCAGTAGGGGTTTGCTTCATCGCTGCAGGCGCCGCCAGTCGCCAGTACGCCATTAGCCGTAGGTTCGCCGTCAAGAGGCTGATCGTTGTTCTGTCTCTGAAGATTCTCCTTGTTCGCCTCGCGATACAGAACATTCTCAAAAGCCATGTGGTTGGGTTCGGCGTCCATCACGTTGCTTTCGCATCGCATCAGTTCCTTGGACTTGTCTCTGGAAATTCAAAATAGGAGGATAGGGAACGCATACTAACCAAATTTTGTACTTTCTTGCTTTCTTGCCTTGGCACTAACTCTTCAAACGGTAAATATATGTTGAGAGATTGGTGCAAAACTGATCGCCTTTATTAGTGAGTGAGTATATTTCACGCCGCTTTTAGCCATATTCCAGCAATATCACGGCAGAGGACACCAGAAATGGGCTTCACAGATTGTACCCATGTGGTGAATGGAAGCCATGTCTTCGGCGTGACAAGCGAACGCTCTTCGATAGTCATCGTTAAAAATCACAACATTCGATATTGTCAATAGTGATTCGCGTAGTCGATGAGTGAAATATAAATGAATGTCGTCATTTTTCAGTTAGCTGTAAACTTCTTTTTTTCAGTGACGCATAATATATAGATATATCAATAACGAACTACAAATTATATGCATCGTGTGTCTTTTCTTATCTGAAAATATCTTTCATTCCATGATTCTGTCACTGGATCGATAATCCTATTATCTAACCTGAGCCGATTACCCACTGTTCAATTCGGTGATCAAATGGATACTTACGATCGTCTTCGACGGATGAGGATTATCGCTAAGAGGATCACCAGGATTAACGCTATGAGGAGAGGGAGAACGATCGCATACCAGTTGTTGGTCAGCCAACTTTCCTTCCGCACCTGAAAAAGTGAGTGAGTGAGTTTAGTTTAACTCCGCGTTAAGCAATATTCCAGCACTATCACAGTGGGGGACACCAGAAATGGGCTTCACACATTGTACCCATGTGGGGGATCGAACCCGGGTCTTCGGCGCGTCGAGCAAAGGCCACTAGGCATGACCTGACAGTAATTCCATTGAGTGAGTTTAGTTTTACGCTGCTTTTAGCAACATTCCAGCAATATCACGGCAGCTAGGGGACACCAGAAATGGGCTTCACACATTGTCTCCACGTGGGGAATCGAACCCGGGTCTTCGGCGTGACGAGCGAACGCTTAACCACTTGACTGTCCACCCGCCCCCTTTAAACGATATGAGCACTTCTACGATGAAGATCTTGTTTATTGATCAGATCGTATTGGCTGTGCGCCGCCATTTTATCCTAGGCAAGGATATAGATGGGACGTTACTCCGATCAAGTCACGGAATTCTAAGCTAGTTCGGCAAGAATGGAAATTGGTCCTATACAGTCTGTTAACTCCCTTTACTTGGGAAGAAGAGAGTGAGTTTAGTTTTCAGCAATATTCCAGCTATATGTCTGTAAATAATCGAGTCTTGACCAGCCAATCCAGTACTCAGCGGCAAGAGCACCGATCTTCGCAATTGGGATACGATGACATGTGCCAACCATGTCAGCGAGCCTGACCACGGTCATGGGTTACGACAAGCATGGGTTACTGAAGATCAATTCTAACCCGGATCTTCACAGGTCACATGGGAAGAAGGGTTTAATGCCGCCTTGAACAGTATTCTAGTTAGATAACAGCGTGTCAACTGACTGAGGGAGGAAAGCCCAAAGTGATGCATGTGCTAGACGTTTACACACACACAGTTGTGAAAAATATTTAGAACACGTGGCAACCTCAACTTCTGTTAGCCCCAGTGGTCCGGACTTGGGTCTTGGCGGGTAGAGCGGAAGTGGCAGATAGGGGTTGATGTCGTCATCGTCGTTGGTGCTGAATATGCGGTTGACAGCTTCATTGTCCAGAACGGTCCCATCTTCAAGCGACGAGTAAAACTCCACCCGGGTTGTCGTTGTTCTGAAAAGATATTTGTTGGTTTTTGCAGTTTGTTTGTTTGTTTTTTGTTTAAAGCCGTACTCAACAATATTCCAGATATATGGCGTCGGTCTTGTAGACCAGACATCATCAGCATCGATCTGCACAATTCGAAATTTGATTTCATGTGTCAACTAAGTCAGTGAGCCTGACCACCACCCGATCCCGTTAGTCGCATCTTACGACAAGCTTGGGTTACTGAAGATCAATTCTACTTCGGATCTTCACGGGTCCGTTGTTCTGAAAAGAACCATTCGTGACCAATTGCAACTCGTGTTATTCCGGGACAAGCCGAATAGCGACTCGTGCCTCTGGAAGCATTTCATATTGGCGCATGAGCATCAGAACTACTTTAAACTAGAACGATAACTCTATCCCTGTTTGATTCCAATGTTTTTGGTGTTTTTTTTGGGGTTTTTTCACTTATTTATTTTAAAGAATTAAACCTCTTTGATACAACTAAAAGAAGAAGAAAAACATATTTGTTAAAGACATATTCTAATGTAATTATTACCAGATGTTCACCTTATATTTCCAATTATGTTAATTAATAGGGTTCTTAATAGGGTTTAATCATCACAAATGGAATTTGTTTTATTGAATATACAAATAAAATAAACAAAATTCAGCTACATTAAATCCCAAAGCAGATACTCAAATATTTCTCAAACTGAACATTCGTGTAACCTTGCTGTCACACCCCTGGTGGAATTTTAAATGAATTCGCTGACTAAAATATCCCCAGAGATATGAAATATAAGCCCAATGTTAAAGATTAAGGTTGATTAGTTACATACAAATACGATATTATTGTTTTGAAACTGGCAGCGATTATAATTACATTTCCTAAAATTGGTCGAAGCGCACGTACAATCTGCATAACAAGCCCGCAAGATCGTCAGAAATACACTCAGTTGGAAACATGAGAGCAGTTATGTCAACAAACGCACGTGCGTGTATTTGAATCTCTCACCGTCAATCGCATGATTCTTATTAAAAACTTCATAATAGGCAGCAAAATTCTTTTAGCTACGTTCTTTGTACTTTCAATATGACGATATATATTTTTCATGATTTTTTAAACAATGACATAACGCCATAAACGATTTAAGTACTCGGGATTATTTTTATCAAAGCACCGCGCTCATTTACGCTCGTTCTGATTGGTTTGTCGTATTTTCGCACATAACAAGTATCGAGTTGGGGACGAGTCTTCTTGGAGATTACGGAAAGGGGCGAGTGGTGACGAATGGAAAAGAACATCAGTATTTCATTTTATAGGTTTTCATTGGCCTCTCTTTGTCCTGACGTTACTTGGAACTTGGATACGACAGATGGTGAATAAAATATTACCATGAGACTGTAACATGGTGTCAAGGAAATTGATCATCAAAACAAATTAAAAGAGTATGGATGAATCACTCACTCGCTGTTGATGGGTATTGTTCTTGTGATCACCTTGACATAGACCGTTTCCGGAACACCTCCCAGGTTTTGTATCAGCTTGATCAAGCCATTGGTCAGATTGTCTCTATTGCTGTTGTCAATTACACCCAGGAGCGTAATGGCGGAGGGATCTGTGCAGGGCAAACAAAACAGAATCAATTACTTGCAACAGAAACGTGATAGAGGAACAACTCTCTGTAGCTCACCTTTCCTTAAGGACAATTACTTAAACTCTGGAAGGTCGTACAAGCATGAAAGAAGATTCTACGAATATCATCCTATTGACATATGAATAGATGGATAGATAGAGGTCTAATGTGATGCCAAATTCGAAGCTTTGCTGAATATACGAAATGAACTCTCTGTATGTAATGAACACATCTTGTGTTATAAGTAATAAAAGTAGTTAATGCAGATAATAAACTCTCATCTCAGATTCATAAATAAATGATGGCTATAACAAGCCAAGGGTAAATAGCAGTAATAGCATTTTCAATATGGCTGCCATGATGTATACAGACACCTCTGCTAGTATCAAATTCATAAATCGTTACTATTATAAACCCAGAAATTCATAAGTTGAAAAAGTAGTAAAACTACCCAAAAGTAGGAATGTGAAAGTCAAACACATCCAAAAGTAGGAATGTGAAAGTCAAACACATCCAAAAGTAGGAATGTGAAAGTCAAACACATCCAAAAGGAGGAATGTGAAAGTCAAACACATCCAAAAGTAGGAATGTGAAAGTCAAACACATCCAAAAGGAGGAATGTGAAAGTCAAACACATCCAAAAGTAGGAATGTGAAAGTCAAACACATCCAAAAGTAGGAATGTGAAAGTCAAACACATCCAAAAGTAGGAATGTGAAAGTCAAACACCTCACATGCGCTACAACCACATGAGTTTTGTATTAGAAACAAATTACAAACGTGACCCAAGTGGTCACAAGACATAGTTCGTTTTTAGTCTGAGGATATTTCCATCACCAAAACGCCTACCCTCACTGAAGTTAACATGTTAATGCCCAGACATCATCCAAACAAAAATAGTTTCCCTGTAATTTTGATTACGGTATTAGTTAACTAAATATGACCTTGAAACCATGTAGTAATATTGAAATTAAATGGGTACCCATGTAGTTTCAGTTTAAGAGAAAGTATGAATATATCTTAGGTTAGATGGGGTTAGATAAAAAAAATTATATAAATACATTGCTTTCTTTACCTATGTCCCGTTTCCAGGAAACCTTGGCACAATCAAATCCAAAGCAGACAAGGCTCAATTATTCTACATTCGGGGCGATTCACAACCTAGATTGGACAGATGAACTGCCTGACATTTACGTTTGTGTTTGGAAGAACAGACTTTTCTGTTGTTTAACGCCGCCTCGCCAGTCTTTCGGCTTAATGATTGATGTCTGTAAATAATCGAGTCGATCAGACAATCAAGTGATTGACAGCATGAGCATCGATCAACACATTTGCGATACAATGATATGCATCAACCAAGTCAGCGAGCCTGACCACCCGATCCCGTTAGTCGCCTATTACGAAATGCATGGGTTGCTGAAGACCAATTCTAACCCGGATCTTCACGGGTAGAACAGACTGTGTTGTATATGGCATCAAATATTGCTGGTGTCATGATTTACTATTATTATTTATCATTTTGACAACCAAGTCAGCGAGCCTGACTACCTGACCACCCGATCCTGTTAGTCGCCTTTTACGACAAGCATGGGTTACTGAAGACCAATCCTACTAGTATCGCGGATCCCGAACGCATTGTGCGTAGACATCAAATAGCGATGAAATGGTATAACGGTCACTGAAAATCAGCGATGACCAAGGCGTCCGCGAGAAAAGGTAAACATAAATTATATTACCACACACACAATTTGTATAAAAACTAAACGTTCGTTGCCTTCAGTAGGACTGCAGTCCCCTTGACATGGTACTTCAGCCGATAAACAAACCAGACAATCAAGTGATCGACTGAACGGTCATACAGTGACACGATATGGTAATTACCTTTTGTATACGAAAAAGACATTTTTATGCTGCAAGAAAAGAAACCCGTATAGTCGTTTTAAATATTAGTAACTACAGTACAACACACAAAAACATCCGCTGCCACAGTCATAGTTTACACTGAAAATACGGCATTGAATACCTAATGTGACTTTGAGTTTGAAACTATAGTGCGTTTGGCTCAAAAGCGGACCGATGAATTGCAATCTAACTCAAAAACTAATAAACATAAAATACTCAATGAAACGCTGTTCATAATCAAAACATCATACCAACTCTGTGAGGTTTTTGCAGAATTTTTGTCCTAAAAATAAAAAAGTTGTTTAACAATCTATCATGAAAATATTGACACAGTTCACTATTTGTTACGAGGGAGGAGTGCAGAGAAAGGGACAGCCAGGTGTTCGAGAACGGATGGAGACGGCACAGCACAGGTTAATGAATAAATAACTTTGTCTGTCAACGTGCTTCTCGAACACCTGGCTGTCCCTTTCTCTGCACTCCTCCCTCGTAACAAATAGTGAACTGTGTCAATATTTTAATGATAGTTTGTTAAACAACTCTATTATTTTTAGGACAAAAATTCAGCAAAAACCTCACAGAGTGGGTATGATGTTTTGATTATGATCAGCGTTTCATTGAGTATGTTATGTTTATTAGTTTTCGAGTTAGATTGCAATTCATCGGTCCGCTTTTGAGCCAAACGGACTTACCAACCTTTTACGTGTGATCTCATCTGTTAATATATATAAGACATAGTTATGCTACATTAACTACCTCAATCTATTATAAATGCTAAAAGGGGGCGAAGAAGGTTTGCATTTTCGCTTAGTTGCACACACAATGTAGGGCGTTTTGGGTTTTTTATTCTCTTTTAGCATTAAGAAACTGGCTACACATTGTACCGATCCCGAACGTGAGCAAGAGCAACCTAGAACTCCGCTCAGTTGAGGAAGAGTTGACAAACAGCTTTGGTTCGTAAAGTGTAAAAAAGCCCTTATGTGCCGAGGATGATACTATGACTGTCACAGCTAGATTGACCAAACCTCCACCCACCACCATCAGTTGGTATCGCGTCTACTATGTCCACTTCACACGTGGCTCCCGTCCATCCAGACTCACAGGCGCACGAGAAGCGAGTTGCTGTGACGTTGTTCGACAAGCATGTCCCTCTTGTACAGGGAGTACTCTCACAGGGGTCAACCTCCTCTGCGCATGTATCTCCCGACCAGCCGATTGGGCATGTGCAGTTGAAGCTTGTCTCGTTTCCGGAACAGATGCCTCCATTTACACACGGATCCGTGGCGCATTGGTGAGTAATGTCTTCACAAAACATTCCTGAAAATAAGTGAAGGATGTAGTGCTGAGGAGTGAGTGAGTTTAGTTTTATGCCGCTTTTAGCAATATTCCAGCAATAATACGGCTTTGGACATCAGAAATGGGCTTCACACATTGTACTCTTCTGGGAAATCGAACCTGGCTCTTTGGCGTGACAAGCAAACGCCTTAACCACTAGGCTACCCCATCGACTCTGGTCTTAGGGAACCACTGGGTGTGATAAATGTTTTGTTAGATAAACCGTTCAGCAATACTCCATTTGCATGGAAGCGGTCTGTAACTGGGTCAACTTGGTTCAGACAATCCAGTGATTGCCACTGGGATATAACTACATGTTTATATATATCATTGTTATTTTATGGCGCACTCGGCAATATTACACCTATATGGCGGCGTTCTGTAAATATCAGAGTCTGGACCAGACAATCCCGTGATTGACATCATGAGCATCGATCAACTCATTCGCGATACGATGACATGTGTCAACCAAGTCAGAGGTCTTGACCACCCGAACCCGTTAGTCGCCTCTTATGACAAGCATGGGTTGCTGAAAATCAATTCTAACCCGGATCTTCAGGGTTCTTTAACGACATGTTATCAACCGACCCGTGAAGATCCAGGTTACAATTGATCTTCAGTAACCAATGCTTGTCATCAGAGGCGACTAGCAGGATCGGGTGGTCAGGCTCACTGACTTAGTTGACACACGTTATCGTTTCCCAATTTCGTAGATCGATGTTCATGCTGTTTATCACTGGATTGTCTGGTCCAGACTCGATTATTTACAGACCGCCGCCATATAGCTGGAATATTGCTGAGTGCGGCGTAAAGCTAAACTCACTCACATGTTATCAACCAAGTCACTGAGTCTGACCACCCGATCCCGATACACGGGTATTACGACATGAGCTGCTGGAGAGTTACACTTTTGTCCAGAATCACCATAGGTTTGTCCAAAAGGCCAACTCAATATACTCTCCCAAACAACAAACGCATAGGTGTTTTGTATTTTTTTAAATCTATTAATTACCAATTGTGTTCAAACAATCGTCAAAATATGTAACAAAAGTGTTGATAACATGATTTTGCACTATTGCGCAAGTGAAAAATCGACTTTACCTGAAAATGTTGATTTTGATGAAATTTCTTACAAGGATTAAAAAGGCATCGCCACAATGCAACAGAAATCACCTTCCAGTTGAAATTGTGCAGCAAAGAGCATGCACTGTCTGGCAATAAAAATCCAGATTACTTTCGGAAATTGGCATTTGTTTTGAAGGAGTTTCAAGGTCAAATCACTACGCCACGTCTTGACTCTGCGACAGGGAACATCGCCATTGAAAGAATGCACGCTGGAGATTACCAATCTGCTGTTGCCAGGCGTCTGCATGTCTGAGCAAGATATCACGGCTTGCAAAACGTTCCATACAAACAGGTATAACAAATGACCGTCCCCGTACAGGCAGACCTCGAGTTACCACTACAGCCCAAGATTGGTACATCCGGGTACTACATTTGCGTGATCGTACTGCCGCTGGTGAGAGCACAGCAGCCAGGGTGCCTGGACTTCGGCGGATATCCGGTCAAACTGGACGGAACGGGTTGAGGATTGGACTGAGAGCCAGGAGACCCGACGTCGGGACCATGCTACATGGTCACCATCAACGAATTCGTTATCTAAAATTATCCACTTGTGGTTGTATAGACATTACATTCTTCTAAACTGATGTAAAAATTCATGTACTAAACTCAATTTGTGGACGAGTTATACATGTTTGAACATACATCGTTTTCGCAACATATTTCTGGGTTATGCGTTTCTATTTTGGAATAGTATAATTAGTGCCATAATAATGATAATAAATGAAAGAAACAGAGGTCATAAGAGTTTGGCTTCAAATATTGTCTTCATGCGGAATCTAACCCTTTCTGCTGAACGAGCGAACGTTTCAACCACTTTCTGCCCCACCGCCCTGACTAGGGCTGGCTAAAATAATCGATAATCGGAAATATCGTCGATAGGAAAAGTATCAATGATTATCGATATGAAAAAGATTATAATTTTTCAATACAACATACAAAGTTAGTACTTTATTCATGGTCTGCTTCAAAATTGTGTTCAGGACGCTGTTTTGTTAATAATCCATGCAAAAACATGACACAACTCACAAATGATGTGAAATATATTCCTTTCGTTCTGACATTTTGGCATTCTGGCTCAAAGCCACGTGTTCGATATTCATCGATAATCGATGTATATTTAGTTATCGATCCCTATGATGTACATCGATAGCCAGCTCTAGCCCTATCTATGATGACAATTTTGGAACGTTTGTTTAAAGTATTTTCTTAAATAAATATATGCACTAACTGACTTTTAGAGATAAATTGTAATCCTTTGTTTTTGCATGAAATGCACAAAAAATGCACAAAAATGCAAATGTTACCTCCGAATCCATCTCGACATTTGCACTTGAAGCTCCCCGGCAAATCTTCACAATCTGCATTATTCTGACAGTAACCACCAGCTTGGCATTCATCGATATTCTGTTCGCAGTTGTCGCCCTTCCAGCCTGTATGGAAATTAAACATAAACAATAAAAATTGAATTTAAACAAAATGCGAAATGAAGTGTCGAAACATATTTTTTCTCACAACAATAAAATTATATATTTCTCCAGCCTATATGAATATAAACACAAACAACAACAAATGAAAATTCAAAAAAGAAGACAGTGTTGAAATATATTTTTCATTTGTCTTACAACACAATATATACTCTCCCAAAAAAGAAACGCATCATGAAAAAAGCAATTTCATGTAGCAATGAATTAAAACGTGATTCATTTACAAAAGGTTTTGCTCTGTTTATGAGTCATATGGTGTTTATGTTTTGAAACATCACAACAAAACGCACCATCCGTAAAATACCCGTATTTAACAGCATGATTTTCAATTTCGGCGTGTAGTGTCACAGAATACACAATTCACATGCAATGCACGTGAAAGTTGGGGATCAGATAGTCTCAATGATGGGTATAGAGGTTGATCGCTGTCTGTCGATCATTCACTGTATTTGGAATATTGTTGACGAACGCAAAATTCCTCGTGAACGCAAGTGAAGCCAATCGTCATATCGTCATTGGTTAGCTTGAAGCTGGCCAGTCTCAACGTGCAGTTGCCCGACGCATTAATGTTCACCAAAGCACCATTTCACGGCTCTGGGAGATATATCGCCGGCAGAATGTGGTAGCAGATGCCCCTCGTAGTGGGCGATCTCGAGCGAGCACTGCGGCGCAGGATCGCTACATCCGGGTACAGCACCTGCGTCATCGAACAGCTACGGCGACCAGTACCGCTCGACAAATACCCGGATTTAGGAGGCTTTCTGCACAGACCGTCAGGAACAGGTTGAGAGAGGCTGGTTTACGTGCCAGAACACCTTATTTTGGCCCTGTGCTTCGACAACAACATCGTCGACATCGATTTTAATCAACGTTCAGGCCTGGAACCTACCGGATTGGCGTAGAATCTGGTTCAGTGATGAATCACGATTTCTATTGGAACGACGCGATGGAAGAATGCGGGTGTACAGACGTCGACGTGAACGTTTCGCCGACGCTTGCGTTCCCCAGGTGGACAGATTCGGCCGGGGCGGTGTTATGATGTGGGGAGAGATCACCTGCCGTAGGAGAAGTTATTTGGTGATGATCCAAGGCAACCTGACAGCTCAACGGTACTGTGACGAAACCATACGCCCACACCTCCTTCCAATCATTGATGGGCGGTGGGGTAGCCTAGTGGTTAAAGCGTTGGCTCGGCACGCCGAAGACCTGGGTTCAAATCCCCACATGGGTACAATGTGTGATGCCCATTTCTGGTGTCCCCCGCCGTGATGTTGCTGGAATATTGCTAAAAGCGGCGTAAAACTAAACTCATTCATTCCAATCATTGATCGCCAGAGGGAGTTGTTTCAACAGGACAATGCCAGGCCCCACACAGCACGTCACACTAGAGACTTCCTCCAGAACCACAACATCAATGTGCTCCCCTGGCCCTCAAGATCACCGGACTTAAACCCGATCGAACATCTGTGGGATGCCCTGGACAGACGGGTGCGACGCCGTAACCCTCAGCCCCAGACACTTCAGCAACCCGCACAGGCACTACAGGTGGACTGCGATTGGGCAACACGAGATTCTGAGACTTATTCGTTCGATGCCGAGGCGATGCCGTGCAGTTCTGGATGCCCACGGTGGTCACACGAGGTATTGACTTCAGCGGCACCACACGTCTCCATGTGACACTCAAACTGACTTTCCTCGAGTTGGTGCCAAAGACGGATAAGTCTGCATTCCCAGTGTGCAAGTTAGCTATATTTCATTGACTCATAAAGCCTACAAGATGTTTCAAAATAAACATAAAAATACAGTTGAAATTCCTATATGCGTTTCTTTTTGGGGAAGGTATATTTCTCCAGCCTATATGAAATTAAACAAAACAACAAAAAATTAAAAGAAGTGTCGAAGTATATTTTCCTTTCTCTCACAACATAATATATTAATTTCCTTTCTGTTGACCATTTGTTTTTATTTCCTTATTCATTTACCTATAATTGTTGGGGTTGGAGATTGGAACCCCAGATCAGACCACGTCAAGACTTTGAGAAATCAATGCTTACCCATATTGCATATCTTCTCTCCCGTGTGTTCATGGCATGTATAATGGCCCGATTCATCGTTCTGTGCCTTGCAGTAAATCTCACACACAGAACCGTACCAGTCTGGGTCACAGTAGGCACGAAACTGTATTTTCAGCCTGAAGAAGCATAGAAACAGTGATGAAATAGATAAATAAAATAAAAATTCATTGTCGAAAACCAACCTGACATCGAAACATCTCTCCTGTATCCAGCTTCTTAAGTTAGAAATATTGATTAAAAGCATACAAATAATAAAGTAAAACGCGAATAATCAAGTCTAACAAATCGGAGGTGGATATCATGAACACCGTTTTACAGCAACGAATTTGCCACTGAATCACTTTCTTAGTCACATAGTTAAACCCTAGATCAAGACAGGCTATTCATATGATAGCAGTAGGGACAGTAGGCGTACTGGTGGACTGCCGTGATATTGCTGGAATATTGTTAAAACGGCGTAAAACTATACTCACTCACTGATGGCTGGTGGTGCTATAATTATGTTAATTCAACATGCGAAAGTAGCCTGATGGATATTTTCTAAATTGTGCCCCTTTGATCTTCAAGCGGGAGGAAAGACCCACTGATTCCTTTACGAAGCACGGATATTGTTTGACAAACCAAGACACACAGTCCGAATCCGGGATTCGAACCCACGGTCAAAGGCTTCTGGCACTCTTGCAGCGCCTTTCAAAACCTTGTCCACCGAGCTAACGTTTTCCACATAAGAATTATTTCCTATCACTCACGTTGTTCTGTGGGACAAGGTGTACGTCTCGTACAGGCTCCCCTCGGCTTTGGGGCTGACAAAGAAGTTTTCCAACACCTTTGCCAAGTTGTCCATATGATCGTGACCGGTACCTGGGTCATCATCGTAGACGTCGACCTTCACTTTTACCTTGGACTGAGAACAAACAACGATGTTTTTTGCATGTTAAAATATCAGTTTGATATGCTAAAGGTTACGGTTGTTGTTGATATTGATATGATAAAACCTGTAGTTGTTGCTGATATTGATATGATAAAACATATGACTGTTGTTGATATTGATATGATAAAACCAACGGATGTTACTGATATTAACATACCAAAACCTATGACTTGCTGGTACTGATATGATATGATAAAAACCTACGGTTGTTGCTGATATTGATATGATAAAACCTGTGACTGTTTCTCATATTGTATGGTAAAACCTGTAGTTACTGATATGGATATGATAACAGCTGTGACTGAAACCTTCGACAAGTGGAACACTAAAATTATGAAACTTACAGGAATTGAGGCCACGGGTATGACAAAACGATAAGAACCTACAGGAATTGAGGCCACGGGTATGACAAAACGATTAGAACTTACAGGAATTGAGGCCACGGGTATGACAAAACGATTACAACCTACAGGAATTGAGGCCACGGGTATGACAAAACAATTAGAACTTACAGGAATTGAGACCACGGGTATGACAAACCGATTAGACGTCCCTCCGATGTTAGTACCAAATACTATGTTGTTCTGTTCATGCATTACGCCTGTTTCCTTTTTAAGCAAGGAACAATCATGGATACTGTGGGAGCTGAAATATTGAATGATCATGACATCAGTTTAAATACGAGCTTGACCAAGAAACAACACTTAAGCTTTCAATACACCATCCATATGTCAGACCAGCGAACACTGGAACAACATCAAAAGAGGTAGGACTACATTTAAACACAGTTAGGGCTAAATGCCCAGTGCTGACAATGATCTTCCGATAGTTAATATTATTTGTATTAACGTGTTTAAAAGAACATTGTAATACGTGGCCATTGTGAATGATATATTTAATACACAAGCCAGACCTACGAAATAAACATATATTAAAGCTAGGTCGATGCACATTACAAATTGATGCTCTGTCTGCATTGCATATACAAGCTGAGGAAAGGCAGGGTAGCCCAGTGATTAAAGTGTTCGCTCTTCACGCCAAAGACCTGGGTTCAATACCCTACATGAGTACAATGAGTGAAGCCAATGTTACCTGCCATGATATTGCTGGCATATTGCCAAAACAGGCGTAAACTCGAGCTCACTCACACATTCACTATATAAGCTGATCAAGGAATGGTATCTAGCGATATTGAACACCTTATGAAGCTGATTAAGGAATGGAATCTAGCGGTATTGAACATCATGTGAAGCTGATCGAGGAATGGAATCTGGCGGTATTGAACTTCGTGTGAAGCTGATCAAGGAATGGAATCTGGCGGTATTGAACATCGTGTGAAGCTGATCGAGGAATGGAATCTGGCGGTATTGAACATCATGTGAAGCTGATCGAGGAATGGAATCTGGCGGTATTGAACTTCGTGTGAAGCTGATCAAGGAATGGAATCTGGCGGTATTGAACATCATGTGAAGCGGATCAAGGAATGGAATCTAGCGGTATTGAACATCATGTGAAGCTGATCGAGGAATGGAATCTGGCGGTATTGAACTTCGTGTGAAGCTGATCAAGGAATGGAATCTGGCGGTATTGAACATCGTGTGAAGCTAATCAAAGAATCGAATCTGGCCGTATTGAACATCGTGTGAAGCTGATCAAAGAATCGAATCTTGCAGTATTGAACATCGTGTGAAGCTGATCAAGGAATGGAATATGGCGGTATTGAACATTGTGTGAAGCTGATCAAGGAATGGAATCTACTTGTATTGAACATCGTGTGAAGCTGATCAAGGAATGGAATCTCTGGCGATATTGAACATCCTGAGAAGGAGATCAAGGAATGGAATCTGGCAGTATTGAACATCGTGTGGAACTGATCAAGGAATGGAATCTAGTGGTATTGAACGTCGTGTGAAGCTGATCAAGGAATAGAATCTCTGGCGATATTGAACATCCTGAGAAGGAGATCAAGGAATGGAATCTGGCAGTATTGAACATCGTGTGAAGCTGATCAAGGAATGGAATCTGGCGGTATTGAACATCCTGAGAAGCTGATCAAGGAATGGAATCTGGCGGTATTGGACATTGCCTGAAGCTGATCAAGGAATGGAATCTGGCGGTATTGGACATTGCCTGAAGCTGATCTAGGAACGGAATCTGGTGGTATTGAATATCCTGAGAAGCAGATCAAGGAACGGAATCTGGCGGTATAGAATCGTGTGAAGCATACCGAAACATGCCGGCAACAAGCATGCATGTAACAAATGTTATATTTGGGATAATACTTCCTTCTATATACGTAGGGGCGGTGGGTGGCTAAAGTGTCCGCTTGTCACGCTGAAGACCCGGGTTCGATTACCCACATGGTTACATTGTGTCACCATTTCTGGTGACCCCGCCGTGATATTGCTGGAATATTGCTAACAGCCGCGTAAAACCATATTCACTCACTCCTTCTACGTAATGTGCCTCACAGACTCAGTCATGGGGGTCTTGTAATCCCAGATTTAACCTTTGCTACATTTGTCTACTTTCTAAGAGGGATTGTGCATTCCAATATGCACTCAATGTGTGTAACCGAAGTGTATTCACGCGTTTGTGACACACGTACTGTATGTAACATCGACCGTGTAACATTAAGTTAAATTGAGTATGACGTCACCAATCAATGTTTATCATCCAAAACAGTGTTCCACAGGAGATATTGCTTGTGTGAGATCAGACGATATCTCCAAGGAGATATCATTTTGACAGTAGATTTTGCACAATGCCCTAACAATGCTATGACGCAATGAACTTGATGACGTCACACTGCTATGACATCGCTACACTGTGTTCAGAGATGTACATTTTTCATTGAAAACTAATGAAGAGTGACTTTTGATGATAAATAGAATCTCACCCTTGTGTCTTCTGATATCAAATATATCAACACTCGTTGATAAAAGTAAAAATGTCCTCGACAAGCCCCGGATATTTGTTACTTTATCAACTCGTGGTGATATATTTGATAACAAAAGACACTCGGGTGAGATTCTCTATTTCTAAGACTTTGGGTGATAAAACACAAATTACAGGGAACTGGCATTCAAAACAAAGGCTGAAAATATCTTCACAGATCATGCGCCATTCTCTACACAGGATATGCATGCATATTATATATAGAGCATACCTTTTGGTTCTTTTCCTTTACAGGAGTGAAAATTAAAAAAAACATGGCGATATTAATAATCTTGTAGCATTGTATTCATCATATAAAGATCATGGGCTAGCTTTATCCCAAGGGTGCAAAAACACCACTTCAATTTCTGATGAAATTAGGTCTTTGAATGGCATTTAGAAGTGATAGGCATGAGGAAGAAAGTTTTATGGATGTCAGCTACTTTATTATGACGAACACAACGTTTCGGGGTGTAACCTTACTCCTTCATCAGGCGAATGAATGGCATAAGGCAGAGACTGCCAGAGAGCATACATCTGTACATGTAAGGACAACTTATAAGACAACAAAGATGGAACCAACAGTTACCTGGCATTGATGAGTGATTGGCAAGAACAAATGGAAGCCAACTCGTAACAGTTAATTAGCGCGATTGTGTTCCTCATAACAAAGATGTTGACATCCATACAACTGTCTTCCATGAGTGAAATTAGTTCTAAAAAAGGAAGAATGTTTTCCAAATTATTGCAGTCTGGATATAACATAAACTGTCGGCGTTTGTTCACTCCTACAGCATTCAACGAAAATATTGCTTTTGTATTGAATGTTTTTGGAATGAAACAAAAGCAACTTTCTATGATGCGTTTTGGTTTGTATAAGCTGAGACTCATTTGTTTATTTTAATTTATCCATACGATCATTTCAACAAACTATTCAAGAAGGTTGATATACTCACTCCGATTCGTCTACACAAAGAGTAAACTTCGGATCGCACTGGTTGCCACAACCAATCCAAGAAAAAACGGACTCGCAGCAGTTTCCATTGGACCCTTTCCCACTGGAGAAGAAACTGTGAAACTTCAAGTCCAACTTCCCCGAGGCCTTGACTTCCTGTAAATTAGACACACGATAGAATAATTTGGAGTGAGTGAGTATGGTTTTACGTCGCTTTAGCTGACTCGCTGAGTATGGTTTTACGCCGTTTTTAGCAATATTCCAGCAACATCACGGCGGGGGACACCAGAAATGGGCTTCACAAGTTGTAACCATGGGGGAATCGAACCCGGGTCTTCGGTGTTACGAGGGCACGCTTTAACCATTAGGCTATCCACCACCCCACAAGTAAATTTTAGGTGGACATCAATCACTGAGAATTCGTTCACTGAAGGTTTAAGGAACTTTGAAATCATCACTTTCCTATGAGTTTCTGGGTCCCGGTATTTGTGTTACCCAGATGCTTTGTATAGCTTGTATGGCTACCATTCACTGTTCATTTAGTTTATGAGGAAAAATTGTCAGTTCCCTCCTTAATGAATGAGTGAGTGACTACGGTTTTACGCCGCTTGTAGCAATATTCCGACAACATCACGGCAGGGGGACACCAGAAATGAGCTTCACACATTGTACCCGTGTGGGGAATCGAACCCGGAACTTGACGAGCGAACGCTTTAACCACTTCGCTACCCCACCGCCCCTTTAATGAATGATAACGTTTAACGTTTCCTCCTTAATGGATGACAGCATGATAAGTGTCCTCTTTAATGAATGATAACATGATAAGTGTACTCTTTAATGGATGATAACATGATAAGTGTCCTCTTTAATGAATGATAACATGATAAGTGTCCTCTTTAATGAATGATAACATGATAAGTGTCCTCTTTAATGAATGATAACATGATAAGTGTCCTCTTTAATGAATGATAACATGATAAGTGTCCTCTTTAATGAATGAAAACATGATAAGTGTCCTCTTTAATGAATGATAACATGGTATGTAGCATAACTTATTTGCCACCTTGAGTTTATTGAATTTTTATAGGGTATGATTTTATCAATGATTATTGGTTTAAGTTTCCGCATCCCGGTTACTTTAGCGCATGGAGATGTTACTAATGTTACCTAGTTTGTTTCCATAGATTTTACTTCTTTATCCTAAAGAACATCAAAGATGTCAAGCCCTTGGGGACACGAGGCATTGAATAAAGTATTATCAGTAGGGCCATCCCATCATCCACAGAAAAACGGAGTAGGAGGCGTAAACAATAGGCTGAAAATTAGACTCCTTCACCTGAGTTGAAATCAGTAATGGTACAAGGAACAGGGCCGTATTCAAGATTGTAATATGTATAAAGCGACCAGCGTGTGCGCGTGTGCGTGTGCGTGTGCATGTCAGGCAAGGCACGGGGGGGGGGGGGGATTAAACCCCTTGACATAATAAATTGCACACAGGCATTATCATGTAAATCTGTGTCGGTCATAATGCCATTTCTTGGACCTGATTCGCCGATAATTACTTTGGGAAAATATGCGGTAAAACCTAATTGACTCCTGTCTCAATTCAACATTCTTTGAAATTAGTCTATTTGAACGAAACAAAATACCGTTGGCAACTATATATCATCAATATAAAGATGTAACATTCAAACATTGTTGGAAGTTACATTCACGTATTTTATTCAGGTTTAATATAGATGCAATGTAATTTCTGCCTTCACAACAACAGCGTATGGGTACCCTCTTATACACAGTACTTCGCTTAGTTTGGGCAAAACGATAATCATTCTTCGTTTGCTTATTCCATGATACATCTAACAGGAATTGAATGGCATATAGAAATATTTACCACTAGTCATAACCCCGCCGAAAGGGTGTCTTCTTAGGGCCGTATATCATTAACGTGTTTCTTCAAAACCTTATTATCTACCTCAATGCTTTCGCTATTGGATACGGCGTTTGCCTTCACTGTTGATAGCTATGTATCAACGTAAGTTTTCTATAGACTGTCGCTAAAGTAGGCAACAAATGTAAACATATCAACACATCACTAGGCGATTATATATTACTCTGCGTCCATACGTCATCAAAAAGTAAAAGAGAATTCAAGGACGCACTTTATGCTTAGGTATATACATGTACTATATTAAACCCCTTTATAAGAGATGATAGATTCAACGCGTCTTTGGATTTGTGCCAGAAGAGAAGGTTCTGGGATCCATGGAATCACAATGATTTAACATTCATTATGAAAAAGTGTATTTGCAGCCATCTTAATGGTGTGCATCTGTCTAATTCTTGATTTTATGTTTTTTTCATTTTGTTATACACTATAATGTCTACTGCTTTTTTAATAGATATATGGGACATTGACTAAGTGGCTTTGAATGATATAAAATAAACTTAAGAGTTTTAAAGTTCCCAGTCTCTGACAGGCAATATGTGAACTGTTATTGACTAGGCAATTGGTCAGATCCCGAAATATTTCAACCATTTTGCAAATAACAGATTGAATTTTCTTAAGAAACTTTACACATCACAACACACTATCAAAGCTGTGATTAGAATTTAGAAAACATAGAAATTTAGAAACCATACTTTTGACTTTCGTTATCTTTTAATGCTATCGTTTTCAATCCACTGTTGACGAAATTATGCATGTGAGGTGGTGAGGTGAGGTGAAATTGGGTTTAACGTCGTGCTTGAGAATATTTCGCTCATATGACGACGTGCATTCGTGTGTATGTGTATGTGCGGCTGCTTTTACTAGCCCAGACTGAAGCTGTTTTTATAGTGCTAGTCCACTGAGATACCACGCCGCAGTGAAGCATGAAGACCCCACTCAGACACATTATACTGACTCCGAGCCGACCAGTCCTTGTTGTACCCATTAATGCCGAGCGCCAGACAGGGACCACCAAGTACCATATTTTAACGTCTTTTGGTATGACGCGGTCGGGGATCGAACCCGCGACCTTCCCCTCTCCGGGCGGACGCTCTAACCACTACACCACGGAGGCGGTCTAATTATACATGTACAACTAAATGCATGCATACAGTGGTAAGTAGCTGAGGTCGTGTAGATATGTCCCAATGCTCCACAGAATGCAATTGTCTGGATAAAATATACAGATTACAGAACCAACTTTAAGTAAGATTTTTATCATACATGTAAATGGACTTCAAAGCAGTGTTTAGATAGGCGAGATGTTCAGATTGGTAGGTATTTCGCAACCGAAATGTTATGATGAATTAGTTGTTGCCATGTACAATTCCAATAATTGTTTTCGATGTTACTTTTGTTGGTCTGGTTTGAGGGCATTTAACTAACAAACCTAGACTAACAACTAGTCTCTGAAATGAGCATATTTTACTAAAAAAAGTTCATAGTAAAAAACAAATATATATAATGAAAAGGAGATCTGACACTTTCTTCATTTCCTGAAGCTGAGTAAATCTAGACTTGCCATATTTTCTAGACTTGCGTGGCCTTTCTTGGATATATTTGCTTCAGGGTCTGTACGACAGACTACTAACAAACCATACTGTGTATTGTGTTCAAACAATGCAAAGTAGAGATCATTCATTCATTCATTCATTCATTCATTCAATGGATCATCGCATTCAATGTAACCCAGTCACTTTATACAACACAACGAATTCGAAACACACACTCAGTCGTAGTATTTATCTTACGCCTGTAGAACCTGTCAAACCTGAACAGTCAAAATATTACACACCCTAAATATACTTAAACATCACTTTGACATAATATATTGTGGGGCGCGGTGGGCGAGCTGTCTAAGGCGCCAGGCTAGTGATCCAGCGAGCTCACCTGTGACCGGGTGTAAAAAACCTTGGAGTCAACTTTGTGCGCAGACTCTTTCAGTGTTGTCAGTGTAGTGTACAGTACCCAACCCTGTGCACTTAAGAGAACCAAGGAATCCGTTGGTAAATGAACAGATGGTGGCAATATGAATACGTGCAAACACCTAGTTGCGGGTACAGCAAAGTGCAGTAAACTTGGACAAAGCACAGTGACTATGTGTTCCAGTCCACCCAGCTGTGAATAGGTACCTGGTAAGGGTGAGAAAGCCACATTACCTCGGTTCGCCTAGTGGCTGCAAGAGTTGTATGATCCGCAGGGAGTTGAGATTGATAATACGATACGTTTGAGACTGAGGGGGAAAACAAAGCGCCTTTGAGAAGCTGAGCTGGTTATTGGCGCTATACAAATATTAGCATAATAATAACATATTGAAAGATCAAATCTTTACGAAGTATGAATGTTCCACATAAAGCTTTTCGGGTTGTTAAGGCCGATGTTAGGGTAAAATAGAGTGTCGACACTGGTGGTCGATATCAAGTTCAGTGAGTGAGTGAGTGAGTAAGTGAGTGAGTGAGTGTTATATGCCATAGCAACACAGCAGGTTTACAGCTTTTTAACGTCCTACACAGTCTCGGACAGAACAGTATTAAACTCCACTTACAACGGTACAAGCGGTATATGGGTATATGAAGTATGTACACAGGCTTCCCTCTGTCATGTTCATGCACGATATGTACATATCTATAAAATATGGTTTTCAAAAGGACGCAGATAAATGCAGTAAAAAGCAGTGAGCCTTGAAGGGTTGGGCAGAATTTAATATTACTCCCTATCGTAGTGTACATTTTAAGAGCTCAGAGCAAGTCAGATCACAATTTTTCGCTTTGTTCGTCAGGGGTTGTTTTGTTTGCTTAAATGGTGGGTGAGTTTAGTTTAACGCCTCTTCTAGCAATATTATAGCAATATCACGACAGGGGACACCAGAAATGGGTTTCACACATTGTACCCATGTTGGGAATCAAACCCGGGTCTTCGGCGAGACGAGCAAACGCTGTAACCACTAAGCTACCCTACCGTCCCTAGTTTGTTTGAAACGTCCACGTACGTCAGTTATCCGACCAAACAGATTCTACTGGGTGTAAAGATCAAATAGTATGAGCCCTCAGCGTGTAACGAATCTAATCAAGACCAAACAATCTTGTGACTGACATCATGAGCATCGATCTACGAACTGGGGGATACGATGACATGCAAATATAGCACAAACAATCCGATTCACCACTCG